TGCACCAAGAGCTTGTAACACTCCAAAGAGAAAGGAAAAATTGAAATCGCATCATATGACCCCTTTAAATCCCAATCGATGCTGTTTTCAGTTGAAGAATGAACCGTACATATAGTGCGCCTTCCATACAATAAATCACAATAGGCTAAGCTCTGTGCGTTGTTACTTTTGATATGAAACAAAGTCTCAGATTTCAAATTCTGTCCATTATATTAGGAAATTCAACCAATAAATACCATTTTGGCGCTCTTTCATGTGGCGTGATAGATCGCTGTAGACACCTCAGAACTGAACTGATCGTCGCTTTCGCTTTACTACTAGTGGATACTCACCTGTGCATAATCAAAGGCATTGTAAAAGACTCGTGACAGTTTTATTTTTGTTCTGGAGGCTGATGATCCCGCGCTCTGCTGCCACACTGACTGAACAGGGCTGGGAAATACAGTTACAAATTACAATAGATCATCCTCAGTGTAATCTGTCAAAGTGACGAACAGCCTTCAGATTTTTCCGTCACTGCTAAAAAAAACTCCATCAATGACGGAAAATTTTCGGTTAACATGACCTCTGATATATAAGTGACCCTGGAGCACAAAACCAGTCTTAAGTTGCTGGGGTATATTCTTAGCAATAGCCAAAAAAAACATTGTATGTGCTGCAGAATACTGTTATAATAATAATAATAATAATAATAATATTATATTATTAATATTATATTATATTATATTATATAAATATAAACATTTATGTATTGCAGATAATTGTTGCAGATTGCTGCAGATAATGTAATATAATAAATATAATGAAAATATAATGAATGCAACATTAATATAATGCTAAAATATAATATTCAAAAATAAATATATTTGATATTAAATATTATAATGACATTTAATATTAATATAACATTTAACTATAATAATAATAATAATTATTATTATTATTATTATTGTTGTTGTAAATAAATATGATAAATAATAGGTATGATATTATAATGGCACTTAATATTAATATAAAATCCAACTATAATAATAAAAATAACTATTATTATTATTATTATTGTAAATAAATCTAATAAATAAAACACGTTTATACATAATAAATAATAATACAAAAAATTATATTTATATTAAAACCTAAAATGTGTTGGCACATACACATATATATATATATATATATATATATATATATATATATATATGTGTGTGTGTGTGTGTGTCATAGCACTAACATATTATTGCTCCTTTGTTGATTTTGATTGCTTCTATTTTCATCATTTGTAATTCGCTTTGGATAAAAGCGCCTGCTAAATGAATACATGTAAATGTAAATACTGAATATATCAGCTCTTAAACACTACAAGCAATGTTTCAGGGCTGAAATGACTATAGCTCCAGGTCTCGTAACAGTTACAGGGCATTATAGATCCACACACACTACGCATCGCTCCAGCATCAGTTAAAAGAGCTGTGATTGAGTTCAGATATTGACCAGCATCTGCATCGGGTCATTAAACTCACAATACATGACAGTAACACACGTCAAACCCCGTCCATCAGCGCTGAGAAACCATCCTCAATCAACACTTCACATGCAGAAAGTAGTTCTGGAATCACTTATTTAACTAATTGATATCGGAGACAAATATAAATCTGTGTCTGCATTTTCTAAAAAAAAAAATCGCAGCCATCACACTTGACCAATCAGAGGGAATATCTGGACCAAGAAGCCCCGCCCACTGAATGCTGAAAGCTATTATACAGTCTTATGGTGCATCGATGTTAAAGCGTGTGTTGAGGAAGCTTACGCTGCAGTTTTCTGGAGGCACGATCAGCTGTGTGATTTCTCCTCCGTGAACGCAGAAGATGTGCTTCATCTCGCCGGTGAAGATGTCCCAGATGATGACGGAGAAATCGACGCCGCCGGAGACCAGCGAGCGCTGATCGTAGCGCTGAGGAGGCCAGCCTACACACACACACACACACACACACACACACAGACGCAGATCAGTGCTTCATTCTAAATAAAGGAAAATACTCAGAAATGTGCTGGTTGTTGTTAGCATGTTGTTATGGGAGTGTGGGGCAGTGGCATCAAAAAACATTATCCAGTAGAAAACACTGCTGCAGAATACTGTTATAATAATAATAATAATAATAATAATATTATATTATTAATATTATATTATATTATATTATATAAATATAAACATTTATGTATTGCAGATAATTGTTGCAGATTGCTGCAGATAATGTAATATAATAAATATAATGAAAATATAATGAATGCAACATTAATATAATGCTAAAATATAATATTCAAAAATAAATATATTTGATATTAAATATTATAATGACATTTAATATTAATATAACATTTAACTATAATAATAATAATAATTATTATTATTATTATTATTGTTGTTGTAAATAAATATGATAAATAATAGGTATGATATTATAATGGCACTTAATATTAATATAAAATCCAACTATAATAATAAAAATAACTATTATTATTATTATTATTGTAAATAAATCTAATAAATAAAACACGTTTATACATAATAAATAATAATACAAAAAATTATATTTATATTAAAACCTAAAATGTGTTGCAAATAATATATAACATTGTAAATATAATTTTTGTTATTATGAAATACTAATATCAATAAGACTGTGTCACCCCTGCGCAGCATGTGTTCTCCCTGCAGCAGCTGAACGATGGCCGTCTGTGTAGCAGGAACGAGTACGATGCTGCCGTCTTCTCGTCCGCACACCAGTCGGCCCTGAGACGGGATGTAGACGCTCGCCGTCACCTTAACGGGCTCGTTAGAGACGGACAGGACGCTCAACTGGTCAATGATGCCGGCTGGAGACGGCATTAACTTATCAAAGGCCTCCTGAAGACTGATGCTGACCGACTCCTGCAGCTCTGGAGGAGGAGAGAAAAGCCTGTTATGAACATACAGCAGGACATACATGTGTTTCTGTGCTGTTTGAGAACTCTATTGCATTACATGCAGGAGTCAGTATCTGTAATACTACAAGCGGACACAAGAGAGCAGTGTGTATACTGCAGTACTGAACACACACTGCAGAGGGCAACACTGTACTGATGCAAGAGACTTTCAGATGCGTTAAAGGGGTCATATGATGCTTTTTTAAAGATCATTATATCTCTGGATTTGAGACTTTAGTCTTTGCAACTTCAGGGATCTTATCTATGCACAATCAGCTTGTAACACTCCAAAGAGAAAGGAAAACTTGAAATCGCATCATATGACCCCTTTAAAGCAACCAGAGTCACACTGAACAAATCTACAGCTGTTTGTTATTGAATACTAGCATATTACATCATGCAGGGTATATACTGAATACTGCCTGCTGTTTTTGGGAAATAGTACCAAAGACTATAGAAATACAAAAACGGTTCACTCCTATACCTATGAATGGGAGACAATATGACGAGATAGTCCCGCCTTCTAAATGAAAGGGACTGTGATAGTACTTTGGATGCCACCATGATTAATTGAACTTTAAAGATTATTATGCTTCATTGTTGTCACATGATCATCTTTTCCATTTTTCATTCGACCTCATTATATGCATGTGTTACATTGATGTTTATAACATTGCATTTGTGATTTTTTTTTTAAAGTTACAATATTGTTTAAAATATTCAGTAAAAAAGGTAAAAATACTGAAAATACTGCTTATAATATCCAGTTTGTGGAAAAAAAGTTGAAAAAATAGTTACATTATTGTTTTTAATATTCAAAGCCTGTTGTAAAAATGTTTAAAATATAGTTACAATACTGTATTATAATATTCAGTTTGTGAAAAAAATTAAAAAATATTTTAATGTCTGTTAAATACAATTTTTAATATATATGTTTTCATGTTTATTTTTTGTAATGTCTGAGAAGTATAACATTCAGTTTATGAAAAAAATTTATTTTCTTAAATGTTTGTTCAACAGAGTTAAAAACATGTTCTCATGTTTATTATTTGTAATGTGTGAGAAACATAATATTAAGTTTATGAAGAAAAAAAAAACTACTTAAGTAGTAGTAGTATATTTTTATTTAATGCCATGTCAGCATCTAAGGCTATTTTCATGGCAAAAACAATTAAAAAAAACACAAGTATAACAAACACAATAAAAAAACAGCAAACAAACAAACAAGTTATATTACACAAGATTTTTACATTAACGTGATACAAATTCTAAAACTTTTTCTGGCAAAATAACTCTTTAAGTGAGTTCACTTCATAAAAGAGTTTTCTACATACATTAAAAGCTGGACAGTCCAATAAAATATGTTTGGCAGAAAGGGGATAATACAGTTTAAAAAAAAAAAAGTTCAGTTTTTTGTTGTTGTTTTGTAACTTGTGAAAAACTTTTAGATTTTTTTTTAATGTTTGTTAAATCTAGTTTTGCCCTAAGTGTTGTAGAGAGCGGTGTACCTGTGGCGGAGGACAGCGGCTGTAAGGGTGACGTCTCTGGGATGCTCCACACGGTCAGTCGCCCCGCAGAGTCGCCCTGGATCAGCAGTTTGTGGAACGGCTCTCTCCGTCCGAAGAAGAAGCGCGTCACGGGAGGACAAATCAGGAGCTGCAGGAGACAGAAACATCAACATCTGCAAACATCCAGAGCTCCAGACAGAGCATCAACCTGAGCCTGCTGGTGTTCATCTGACCGCTGAAGCGTCTATGAGCTGCTGCTGAACTCGGAGCGATGTCGATGTGTGCATGGAAGCTGTTAAACATGAGCATCATCAGGGAAATCATCAGCTCATGCAGGATCATGGCTGAGGAACAGGACATCAGCCATTTCAGTGATGATACAGACATACTGACGGAAAATGACACAAAACGGAGTTGGTTTTTCACCACAATAAAAAGAGTTACAGCTGATTTAAAGCTAGCGTTCTTCAAACTGGGGTCTGGGGACCCTCAGGGGCCCATAAGGGAGTGGTAGGGGGTCTGTGAAAAAAAAAAGTAAAAAAAAATAAAATAAATAAAAAACTATAAGAATTAAGATTGGAATAAATAAATAAAATTGATAAAAATAGATGAAAATGCATAAATCATGAGATAAAAAATAAATGATAAAACAGATTAAATATTAAAAAGTAGATTAAAACAAATAAATAAATAAATACAAAAATAAGAAAGAAGAATAGGTTCAAATGCATAAATAATAAAAAAGTAGATTAGAATAAATAAATTGATTAAAGTACATTTAAAAATCAACTAAAATAAATACATTGATTAAAACATTAAAAAATGATTCAAAAAAGTAATAATAATTAGATTAAAATAAAATATTTAATAAAATAATTATAAAAAGCTCATTTAAATAAATAAATAACAGATTTAAATAGATGAAAATAAATGAAAAAAAAAGACTAAAATGCATAAATAATAAATAGAGATTAGAATAAATTAAAACGTGACAAAATGCACAATAAAAAATAGAATAAAATACATAAATAATAAAAAATTGATTAAAATAAATACACTAAAATAAGTAAATACTAAAAATGAGAATAAAATAAACAAATAAATAACGCATTTAATATATAAAAATAAATAATACCATTTTATTGTGGGTAGAAACATGATTTCAATGAATACAAATAAAATGTTTTCAAATATAATATCAAT